GGAGGGGGGCGGGGTGCACCACGGCGGTAGCCAGGGCAACGCGGACGGCGGCGGGAGGAGGGGGAGGAGCGGGAGCCCCAAGGACCGGCTGCCCCACCCCGCCCAGTCCCGCCGGGCCTCACCTGCGTGCCGCGCTGGAACCGGAATTGGGAGCCCTCCGGGATGGGAGGTGCCGGACCGGGGGTCGCGCTCTGCACCGCGCCCCGGCCTCTGCCTACCTGCCTGCCAGCGCCGGGTGGGACCCACGCCCCTCACCTGCCCCGCCTGTTCGCTAACCACCACCCCCAATGTGCGGCGCCGCAAGCTCCCTCTTACCTGTCCAATACCTGGCTCCTGTGGTCGTCCTCCTCCAACTTGAACTCCTAGACGCCTTGTTTCTCCCCACCGCACCAGGTCTGCCCACCGGCTCTACTCCCAGGACTCCCAAACAGCCGGCCTCTCCTTCCGGCCCCCACCTCTGGCTGTGCGGGAAGAGCGCAGTCTGTGGGGTTGGGCCTGGGCTTGCGCCATCACTAAGCCAAGTAACCTGACCCCCGCCCCCCAAACACACACGCCTATTTGCTGACCGCCAAGTGGAGGTGATACCACACCTAGCCCGGCTGTTAAAGGAGGGCACACCGCTGCAAAAGTGCACAAGCAAGGGCACATTTCCTTCCAGACCTGTACCTGGGCCCGCCCCAACCTGAGAAGCCTTGGGCAAGTCTGGACTCCCTCACCTGCAAATACTTGGGCCTTCCAAGGGAGGAACACTTGGGTTCTCTCCTGAGGCCCAGGTGTGCCCTCTGCTGGGCCCTCCACACCTTGCCCTGCTCACTGCAAAAACTCGGGAGCCAGGACCTATAGCCCATCCTATTAGGACTTCTGGAGAGCTTTGGCTCATGGCCTTTGGGACAGCCTCTTGGGAGGCAAAATTTGTCACACAGAGATCACTCTGGAAGCCCCCAGAGCCTCCACAGGCTTGGGGGAGCCTCAATCAGAAGGTTCTGGTCATCTACACTGGCTGCTGTCAGAAGAGCTAAATCACAGGCACCCTCTTCCCACCTGCCACCCATCAAGAGTCATCATTCTCATATACCCGACTCTGCCTTCCAAATTCTCCCTCCCCAACTCCTCGGCTCGCTCCCTTCCCTCCACTCTCTCTTCCAACACCTGGGTCCAGGACTCAGCACCTTGTCCGCACCAGGATGGCACCCCTTCCCTGGTTCCCTCGTCCCTGGCCTCTGGACATCAGAGTGGCCCTCTGGGTCCTCCACTTCATTCTCTAACTTTATGCTCCACAACTCCCCAACACCCATCACCACCTCAGCCAAGCTGGTGTGCCTCAAGGCCCTCACCCACCTTGCCTCTCCTGGCTTGTGCAGCTTGTGGGGGGCCCCCTCCCTGTGCCTGGAATCCTCCCCTCCCCAGACCCATTACTCAAGTGCACACCCTTTAGGACCTACGTCACCCCAGAGGGGGACCTAGGACTTCCAAACCCCACAACACCCCTCACCTATACACAGACAAGTCACCTCCTACCCATCAGGAGGGTGAACATCCCAAGTGCAGAGGTCATTTCATCCCACGCCCTCCTGGGGAATCCATTACAAAAAGAAAACAATGCCATGGACAGAGTGACCAAATGATCAAGGGACCAGGGGCTCAGAGGTTCACATCACCTATGGGGCCACTTGGGCCATGCCCACTGCCCAGGCCTGAGCACAGGCTCCCAAGAGGGAGGGCATCTCATGGAAGCACTTCTGGCTCCACAGGCCTCTGCTGTGAGTCAGCTCTGCCCAGCCCACAGAAGCCCCTACCTGCAGACCCTGCACACAACCTCAGTGCACCCTGAAAGGAAGGTGGGTTCTCCAGACCCACAGTGCAAGCCGAGTGCCTCCCCACTGCTCCTGTTTAGTCAAGGACACACAAGGCCACCCATGGCCGTTTATCCCAGGAGGTCAAAGGTTGCTGTTCTCCACTGAAAAGGAAGAGGTAAAGGGTTCTCAGGGCACTCTGCCTCCATGCCCCCCCAACTGCACCTCCCACTTCTGGGAGGTCCCTCCCCATCACTGCCTCACCATTCACACTGCTGGTGGGCTGAGCTCTGCCCAAGGCTGTAGAGGTCAGCCCTAGGCTGTGTGTGGGACGACACCAGCCCGAGTGGTGCTGCCCAAAGCATTCTCTGCCCCAGGGAACCAGACTGGCCGCCAATCCCTGTAATTATGTCCCCAGCAATATTTACCAACCATTCCCCCAATCTCTCTTCCCTGCTCTCCTCTGATCATTCCTCCAGTGTTAGAAACAGGAAGTTCTCCCCAACATGGCAGAGAAAGTGATCCAGAAGAGGGGCAGTAACCATGGTCACCAATGGGTGGGAAGCAGGCTAGGTTTTACTCACTGGAAATCATGGGCCACGTGACACAGGAGGGCTGGGCAAGTGGAGGACAGGCCAGGAAATCCAAAATGAAAATCCAGGCCTCAAGCGGTAAGTACATCCAAAACGATCCTGAACTGGGGGCAAGACCAAGAGATGAGAGAGGAACTAAAAGGGGGCGATTACCCTACTTCCAGGCCCAACCCTCGAGTTCCAAATCTCAATTTTCAATGGACAAAACTCAGTCTAACAAATTACTTTAAATAAGACAAACTTAAAGACATTTTAATTGGACGTTAGCACAAATTTTCGATAGTTAATGTAAATGAGTGTTGCCTAAAAAGCAAAGTATGTCTGCTGGTGAGCCACACAGACTCAGGCTGAGGTTGAGTGCACCCCTGAAGGCTCACTTAATTGCTTCATTCTCTAACTAAATCCACATCCATACCTCCTCCCTCTGGAGGTGGGTCCAGGGGCTAGCTGGCCCTGAACAGCATATACAGCACAGGCAGGATGGCCACAAATGTCACGCAGGTGACCAGTGTGCCACAGATGGTGTTCCTGTTGACCTGGGCTTCTAGCCTCTGCTCCATGTCTGACAGCCCCAAGATCATGCTCCCCTGTTCCAGCAAGGACGCAGACAGGGCCCCATCTGCCGGCTCCACCAGGCCTGGGTGCGCTGCAGCTTTTGCAAGCTGAAGCACCCCAGCCACTTGGCTCAAAGTCTCTTCCAGGCCATCAAGCTGCTCTCGTAAACCCTCTAGACATGAATGGACCTGCCTGGAACGGCTGAGCTGCTCTCTCAAGGCAGCTGAAAGGACATCTGTGTCTCTGTCTCGGGTCGGGGAAGTACCTGCCTGGGACAAAGAGCTCTGCCCAGGCCCAGCTTGCACCAGGCCCCTCAGGTCTGCCATGAGGTCATGGAGGTCCCTCTGCTGGAGGGAGTAGCTGGACGCCTGTTCTCGGATGGCTTCCTGGAGGCTCACAGGCCCCTTCTGAGCCTCCAGAAGCAAGACCTTCAGCTCCTGTAGCCGCACACGGTTCACGTAGGTGGAGCCAGCCACACCAATCAAGGCCCCCAGGACTGACCCAATGAGGGACCAGTTCTTGGTCCTCTCAGCCCGAGTGCGCTCCTTCTCATGACTTTCCCGCACGGCTGCAGAGAAGAGGGAGAACTTCTCTCGCTCGGAGGCTTCGGCACGCTGATGGGCCACACGAAGCCTCTTCTCCTCCTGCAGAAGCAAAGCTGTCATATAGCAGCAACCGGGCCCAGCAGCCGCCAGCAGATGTCCCACTACCATGTCCCTCGGGCTCAGGTTCACGCCTGGCACAGATTACAAGTTCCATAAACACGCTGAATGAGTAAAGGTAGCATAAGCCTGGTCAGGAGGGAGGAGCAAAGGAACTGGGGGTGGTCAAGGTGAGTGGCACTATCCTCCCCAAGCAGTCTTGGGTCTGGCCGGACATGCAGTGGTGTCTACAGAATGTGTCTAACAGAAGGGAAGTGTCCGGCGCTCTCTGGGCCAGACCCCTGCATGGTGCTCCCTCCTCAGTAATCTGGGGTCCAGATTATACTGTCCTGGACCACTGATCCCAGTATTTCAGGAGGAAGTGCGTGGAGAAGCTCTGGAAGCCTGGGGCCCAGTCCCTCCACAGGGGCTTACCTCCTCACCAGGTGTCTGACCCCCTAACTAGTCAGGGCTCCCACCTAGCCCCTCCATGACCTGCCAGGCTAGGGTACCTCTCCAGATGAGGAAGGGGCCTACCTGCAACATCCTGTGCTCCAGAGTTGCCAGTTCCAGGTACTGGTTATCATCTCTGGAGATGCGGTCCAAGCGGTCCCTCACCTCCTTCAGCTTGGCCTGCTGACCTTCCAAGTCCTCCCGAGCCTCCCGGACAAGCCCTCGAGCCACCATGAACACTTTCTCTGCCTGCAGAGAGAACAACAGAGGCCATTTGCCCCTTCTCTCCATGCCCACACAGCCTCGGCTCCATTCCCAACAAGACTGGGCGGAGAAGACGTCAGTGGGGTGTCAGTACAAAGGGTGGAAAGAGAGTCCCTCAGACACATAATCCTGGCTCACCCAGTTGTCCTCAAAGTGTAGCCCCAGGCCCTGCCCATCAGAATCACCGGATTTGTCCGTTCAAGTGGAAATAACATGCCCCTGAGAAACCTGCAAACAGCCAGAGATGCATACAATCTGTGTCCACCAAACCCAGCTGACTCTAGTCTGACAAACCAGAGCAAGGCCCTTATGTTCTTAATCGGCTTCATGTGTGTTACCTTAGCTACAACCTCCCAACAACGCCAAACGCCATGACAGGCATTGCCCTGGCCTCCATTCAAGAGACAGAGAAACCCCGGCTCAGCCAAAGTGATGGCCTCCAAGGGGAGAGACAGCACTGTGCCTCAAAACCTCTGGCTAAACCCCAGGTTCTTGCCACCCCACTACACTGGTCTGCGCCTAGGTGGGAGTGGGAACAGAGATGGCGGAACGCATTTCCACTGCCACAAAGGACGTGACAACCAGAGGCAGCTCTTCCCACCTCACAGTCTGATGTTTCCCAGTGCCTCTACTTTCACGAGGGATGCTTTAATCACACATGGGGCTTTGAGGACACTGTAATGCAGCAACCCTCCAGGTAACTCTCACCACCAACCCCCAAGCAGTCAATGAAGGAAGTGCTTGCTGTCCTCACAGAAAGGATGTTAATGGCCCGGGACTCACTGGTACATAGCATATACACAACAAGTTGTTTTCATGGGGGAAAGGAGGGCCCTTCACCCCGGTAGTATCAAAGCCAGGCTGTCATGTGAGAAACGAGTCAGATCCCTCTCCTAGTGGTATGTGTTCAAGAAAAGGCAAATCTGGACGTGGCCTCCCAGCATCTGTGGCTGGTAATTTACTTGTCAGGAGCCTCCAGGCCACACTGCCCAGGTCAGAGGGCAGGGCCAACCACCCCAGCTCCCCTCCTCACCTCAGTCACGTTTCCCTGGGCCTCTCGAACCTCACTGAGTCCAACAAACTCTTCATATCTGTCCCACCAAGTCTTGGCCATGGAGGACGCCCGTTGCTGAATGCTGTGCCCCAGGGCTCCTCCCAGCGCTGTGAGGCGGTGGTACAGCCCGAGGGCCACCTCCTCAGGTCTTTTCTCTCTGGGCTGGCTGGGGCCTGGGCTGCAGAGAGTCCTGGTCATAAAGAGGTCCCTTCCAAGGAGGCCTCTCCGCACCAGTACGGGAGACACACCCACGACGTGCCGCATGGCCAACACAGGGCTGCACCCTGTCATCGGGAGATCTGTGGGGGGATGCCAGAGAGATCAGCTCACAGCCGAGAAAGGCTCGGCTTAAGTCAGATCCCAAGTCCTAGGGACAGTTCTGAACTGAACAGTTTCCATTAGAAAGTCCAAACTGCGCCACCACTCTGTTGGGCCCAGAGGTGGCAGCCACCAGGGTCAGGCTTCACCAGGTGCCCCCGAACAATGGAGCATGTCAGGGAAGAGCATATTTAGGAGCTCAGGCCTTCCATCTCTCTCCGTGACGCCACATGAACCCAGATCCTCCCATTCCACCCACCACAACCCCAGGTCTCTGTTGTGATCTCCATGAGAATCCTGGTGTCCAGTTTTCTGATAATCTCAAAGAAAATTCTTAAACCTGCCTTGTGTCCATGCTAACAGAGCACCACAAAGATTCACAAAGACTCCTAGGGAAACTGTGGAACTGACTGAGGGGATAGGGGGGAAAGAG